TTTTGTCTTGCTTCCCTGATGTCACTTGTAGCCTCTTCAGTGTTGTGACATCCATGGCTTTAATCCTCAGTATACCCTTATACCTCTCTCCATATCCTGTCAGTGCAGCTGACACTTACTGACTACAGTACTAAAAAATGAGTGAGGGACTTGTTAAAACTGATACTTATACTGATGTTAGGTTGTACATGTGTTGTGTCTCAGGTGTTGGGAATGGGAGAAGCATGGAAAGGTGGTGATGTGGGTCATTCTATTGGTGGAGGACAAAAAATCAGACTACTGAAGGAGGAAATGAAGGCTCTGGCTGAACAGCAAGATCTCATTGTCCTGACTGTGGATAGGTATGTTGAAATCCAAATACATATTTTATCTTTTTTTTTAATTCAGTGCCAATATGATTTTAGCATTGTCGAGGTAATTTCAGACCAATGCTGTCTTTCCTTTAAACTTCATTTAAGTTTGTAGCCAACAAATGTAATAAAAAAGATCAAATTGCTATTTTTTCCCCTTATGTGTTTCTTTACTTAGAGATGGTTTACTTCAACCCATACATCAATTTCACAGAGCTATGATCTGATTTATTTTGGATTTGAAAGATAAAACATTCTTCTAGCAAGAAAGGGATGCAAAACACTTTTATTTGCTTCACAGAACTATGAATTGAAATTGAATCTAATGTTCACAATCACAGCCTGTAATAACTGCTTTGAAAATGCAATGAGAGGTGTTGCTGCATAATCGTGCACTAAACCACTCATTCATGCAAAGCCGTTATTATAGAGCATTGCCAAATATATGAGGAGAATAATTCCCACGTGCAGGTAGGTGAATTATGAGCTTTTGAGGCCAATGGAAAGTTTCACTGAGTTAATGTGAGTGGTTTAGCATAATAACAGCTTTGCAGGCCACATTTCCTCGAATAGAGCAAAAGATAGTGATACTTACTCTCCCATGTCACATGAGAAAACCTAGGTATAATTGCTTTGTAAAGTTGCCACACCCTTAAGACAGGTAATTCAATTTTTTATTAGAGAGTAATTAATTTTTATTGTAATAAACTGCATCTGTGCTTTGAACTGTGAGCCATTCAAATGTATTTCAGAATCTATAGTCCTGCTGGGCCACCTCAGTTGTTTTGACAGTTTCTGCTTCTTATTTAGTTACAGACTTACATTGTGTCATATGTTAAATTAATTCACCGAAATGTAAATAAAACTAATTTGTTCATTATGCTGTGGAGCATCTGAGCAGGTGCTCAGGTCGCAGCATGACAATGGTTGCATGCAAGTCAAAGGTCAAACGCCTTAAATGGAGGCCACAGTTGCTATTCACAGCCAGACTATGTATGACTTTGCTACGTCACTCAGTGCTAATTTGGAATTGACAGAAGTGTGTCATGTACAATAAAGACTTATGGCACAGTGGAGATTCCAAGTCAGGGTATTATCTCAGTCTTTAATACTGTAATGCTCCTATAATTCACTTTTTAAACTATTTTAGCTTTATAGTCAGTGTCTGTGGGTTCACCAGAAAACCTTCTACTGATTACATTTGATTTTTATCTTTCTTGAGCAAGTGCAAGCCTAGGTTGTGTGTCAGATGTATGGTAAAATGCACTTGTTTAAGAAAACTATCAGGCTCTCCCTAAAGGGCAAAAGATAACAATGATCTATTGCATTACATACATTGCATTCTCTCCTCCCTTTTAGCTATGATCTTATCTTTGCTGGGGGGCCAGAAGAGATTCTCAGGAAGTTCCAGCAAACCAATCACAAAGTGCTTTTTGCTGCTGAGGGACTGATATGGCCAGATAAGCAACTAGCTGACATGTACCCCTCTGTCCGTCGTGGCAAACGCTACCTCAACTCAGGAGGTGGGTTCTGAAACTTCACTATACTATATGGTCAAAATACTGAGCTGTTATGACCCGTTGAACATCTCTCTGACATGATGCTATGACGGTACGTTATTTGGATAATGTAAAGGTGATCAGCGATAAAGTGACAAAACGTAGATGTTAAAGTCACTATCACTAAAACTTGTTTAAATGGTAATGGTAACCATACAGTACATTCCACCATCAGCTGTCAAACTTGGAGAACTTGCAGACCTAGATGACCCAGGTAGGCAGCAATGCACCCTATTTGTAATGAATAATTATACATTATATTATTACAATTACCGGTATATAAATATTACTATCATTATATGTTGTTATAAAAAAATAGTGTGCAGACATTTAACAAAGGAACAGTAACAGTAAGTTCTCGTGCATAATCCATAGCCTGATGCATCCTGTCAGTTCTTCGGGACACTGAACTGTTGCTTTTCCAGCGGTCATCAGCCCCGTCTGACCTCCCATACTGGAGCCTAGCTGTCTCAGACTGATCAGAGACTGTTTTCAGCATTCACTGTCATCAGCATGACATGTGGATTTGCCTTAGCCCCTCGAATGTGCGACAGTTTGTACAAAATTGTAGGTTTTGTATGGACTCCTACAACTCCTGCCCAACTGACCACAGAGAAATGTTATATAGCATCTGCACACAGAGAGCACAGTGTTTTGGAGGTGGAATCAAGATACAGTAAGGTTATGTGTGTGTTTATTTAAGAAAACTAAAAGGTGACAGAAAAGGGATTATAAGAGTTGCAAGTGAAACTGTTTTCTTAAATTCTCAACAGGCTGTCCAAATAAAACACATCATAATAACATGTTATACCATTTCATACTACATGGCGTCTTTCTTGTAGCTTTGCAACTGATATACCAAGCAGGGTAGTGCAGTGCAAAACTGTGAATTTTTCCAAAAAGGACTGGTAGAAAAAAGCATCAAGCTCCCTGCATTTTCCAAAATTTGTGGATTTTAAAGTTTGTTTGGCCTTTTTTTTTTTTT